GAGCACGGCAGCATGTAACTTTCTTATAGACGTCTTGTCTCATCTCTGAGTGTAAATGGAATCTATTACTCAAACCGGGTTATATTTAATCAGATGACCTTGAACCACTCTTTTCTAGCGTATGTCACAGCATTTAACCCGGAACTTCATCTCTTTGGGCTTCAGGCACTCAAAAAGGCAGTGGCATTTCCGTTCGTGTAGGTGGTTTCGAACGACGGCCAACAGAATCGTCGACTAATAACAAAGATCGCCAGAGTTCAGCTGTTACGAGGTCCAATCATCACCTTCATACAAAGTATAACATAAATAGTAAGCATTAAAAGGCTTTACCACCCCGGAAGAAAAGATAAATGACTGTGAAACATCCTCATGAAAAATAATAACTTTCTTTAAGTGAAAGGACGCAGTTCAACTAGCGTCAGCTGGTCAGAGAGGGTCGGTAACGTTCGGTCACATATAGCAAAACGATAGGGGACCGGCGAAAAGCATGATATTGCTCTAGCTAAATGTCAGAGGCATTGTAAGACCTCGAATAACACAGAGCTTCCTCAAGCGCCTGAGAGCAATGAGGTGACGTCATACACAGCTTAGATGAGTTTTGAGCATATCTGCTTCGTTCAGGCAGTGCTCAAGGCGTTTCTGAGCGCTAGTTATTAAAGATGTGGTAGGAGCAGAAACGAGAATGAACAAAATAAGCCCACACCTCCGATGCTAGAAAATTTAACATACAGCTGTAGATTTGACTCATCGATTGATCAATGATACCGTGCCGTGTCTCCGTCAGAAATCAAAGCTTCTTGAATAATTAAATTTATCATTTCCATTGCTTAAATGTCAAAAACGCCGTTATCTCTTCATTAAGCCCATGTGTTGTTTTCACGATTTACTGCACATGTACACCGAGCTGTTTCGAAGGACAATGCGATGCATTATGCGGCGGCAATCGCGTTCTTATTTATGCTACACACTGTGCAGCACAGAAGCCGTGACATAAGGAGATGCTTGGTAAAGCGTTGTCGATGGCTGAGGCAGTCCATGCGAAAACCGAGGCTGCAGCCAGCAGTCAGGAGGGAAGAACGATTTTGGGCAGTGTTAAATAATAACAGATGAATTAAAACACAAAAATACACATTTTATATAATTATTTTTTGTGGGCACAGGATTTTTCTTTCCCGTCAAAACACACACTACTGAGCCTCGTCAGAGGGAACAAAGCAGATGCTCCATGAGCAGAAAATTAAAAGAATTATTAGAGCACGAAGACCCACAACAATGCTAAAATATGCTGATCATTTTTGAAACAAAAGAAAGCAGTCTTAAAGCATTAAACCAGGAACTGCGCCCAAAAGTGATTTTACAACTTGTCCTATCGACTAACTGAAAGAAGTTAATTCCAACACAATGGACGGTGACAAACAAATCGCTCAGCAAATCATGAATTATCGTATTAATGATTTAGAGATCGCCTAAGCTCATTTTGCATAAGAAATTAACCCGTCTGTTGACGGTAGATCAGATAACTAGGAAGTGGTTGCGATGAGGTCAGGTTATTCAAACCGCCTGAACATCAGACGGTCTTGTGCCTGCCATAGAATAAGTGAGTGTAGTGCGAGCACAACCGTAATGAAGCAACCCTGTTCGTCCGTGACCTTACGTGATAATTAAGTTTTTGGCAGAAGACGTCGGCGGAGTAATTGGGCCCCCGTCTCACACGCCGGCTTCGGTCATAAACACGTTATTGGATGATGCAGGTGTTGCCAGCACTCTAGACGCTGGTTCGACTGACGGACGAAACGGCGCACGGAAGTGGCCGACGTGTAATAGAGCCATTTTCGACGCTTCCATCACAGGTGGTCAACGGGAACGACGATGAATGACAAACGGTCGGTCGGTCGGTCGGTCGGTAGGTCGGCGTCGTCGTCGTTACGGTAAGCTCGTTTGCTTGAGGACCAGTATTCTTTCGATCTTGGAGCAAGAGTGGTTGGTCACCACGGCGACCATGACCGAGAACTTGATTACCAGTGAAGTGCGTTAAACAAAAGATCTCCAATAAAATGCATACGAACGAATTATGAAAAAATTTAGTGGCAGCTCCAATATGACGAGATGTCGTTTCTCA